TGTACTTATAGTACTATATTAAACAACTTTCAGATGTGTCATGTTCCTTTATTTCTTATGTACTTATAGTACTATATTAAAAAACTTTCAGATGTGTCATGTTCCTTTATTTCTTGTGTACTTATAGTACTATATTAAACACCTTTTAGACATGTCATGTTCCTTTATTTCTTAAGTATTTATAGTAGTATGAGACATTCTTGTCTGTGTGTCTACTTCTAAGTAGTAGGATTCCATAAAAGAAACAAAAAGGTCAGATAAACCTAACAACTTTACAAAATTTAATAAAGTTAATGTTAGAAGCACTTCATGTTTTCAAATATTATTCCAATTTAATCACTTGCATGGATAGTAAATTTTATACAAGATATTTAACATTTTTGGCACATGCTACCAAGTAAAAGCAAAATGAAAGTTATGATATGCTGCAAGTTTTCATAAAACCATTTGCAAATGTTTGTACATTTTCCAGAGGACCAAGATACTATTTAGTTGCCACATAAGTAATAGTTAATAAAACCAAAATTAAAGTTCTAACTCATAGTTGACCCGCCACTCTTTTAAAGTACACAAAATAAGTTTCTTATTAAAACCAATGTTTATGAAAGAACACAGTTTTTCTGAATTATGAAAAACATAGGAAAAATTATTATTTTGATGAAAGCATATTTCCAAAAAACTTCATTTTAAATTACTTAAACTTGTCACAAGACATTAGTATTAGGCCTATTACATTTTTAACATTATATTCTGTATTTAGTCCTTTAAGAGTTTTTCACGAAGAGTGTATATAATAGTATTTCAACCACACTATCTCCGCTATATTCATTATTGATGATGCATCCAAAATCCAACATGCCTGTCCCAGAAAACAAACTAGCTAGTATAGTATAACTATATAGTATAGTATGTTATATATATATATGCTTTATTGGTAGGCTCCCTCTAAGCAAAGTTGAATTTTTCACTCTAGAGAACATAAGAAATTTCATATAAGTAAGTTTAAAAGAGTGGCTATACTAGTAAGCAGTATCTTCAGAAATTATCTGATAATGAAGAATGGTTGAAACAGAGCTTGAACACCACTAACATTTTTGTAAAAATGATGACTAGAACAGTCTTTTTGAATACCAACTAGTCCCCTTTTTAATATATAATTATGATACAAATAAAAAACAGCTGATCAGTTCAGAGGATGTTGAATCAGCTGAGATTGTATAAGACTCAGCATTTTGTGAGCCATACTATTAACGGTTGTTACTAAACATTCAACTTCAGGCTTGTCATGGATAAAAATGAAGAGTAATTTGTGACTTATAAACATATTACTCAACATTCTCTAGCTTTCAAAACTCTAACATATACAGGTATTTTGACTTTACAAATAAATGCTACAACTGTTTCTAGGCAGGAGAATACAATATTTCTTTCCTAAAAAATCCACCGGATTGAGCTAAGAATACATGTAATGAAGCCATCATTTTGATTGATCACATGAAATTGTAACTAAAAAAATAGTATTCAGTTCAAATCACTTGCCTTCACCAGGTCCAAATACTAATTTACCAGTTATATATAAATACAAAGGTGATTTTCATACTACATCAAGCAAAAGAAAATAAACAATGATCCATATACATATATATATATATAAAATGCATCATTCATTACATGATAATTTAAACAAAATCACACCCTTATTTATACTTTTAAATGTTCTGTTTTCATCATCATGAAATTTAAAATTAAAATCTTGAGGTAAGATTGTCAAATTCAGCAATTATTATTATATCACAACTTCATGTTGTAAGGTAAAGTATATTTGAATTCATTTTATAAATATTTTTACCTGAAGTAAATGAAAGTTTTTCAGTCCATTATCTTGTTTTCAGACCACCAAAACTTTCATGAAACCAGACTTAAGTAGCAGATGTATTCTACTTGACAGTAATTTTAATCATAGTAATGCTTGTTTAATTTCAACGTGTAAAATTTAGATTTTTATGTTGAGTGTATTTTCTCTCTGTCACCTTTCTGAGAATAAACTACTTATCATAAATTAGTTTTTTTTTCTAGAGGCACTTTTCCTGGAATGATAAATACATTTGAGAGTACCAATCATGCATAATATAAATTGGAAGTTCAGTACATGAACTGAGATAATTAAAGAATGCTCACTACATTTTCTTGGAAACTACCACACTACAAATGAACTGATGAATAAAGTATAGCTGTAAAGCTACTTAAACTGTTGCCAGGGGAAATAATGGATACTATTTAGTATTTGGTTAGGAAAGCTGATAGAACTACAAACACACACATGTATCTTGTATCAAAATTTATTGGAGGTAAAAATTTAGCAGATTTTAAGATAACACAAACAACTGATGACATCATGGAACAGGCTTCTTTTACCATCACAGAATTAAATAACACTCATGGGTCTGGAAAAGATGAACTTTGAAAAGTTCTTCCATGGTTGTAAAGAAATAGAAGATATCAAAACAGAAATGTGCTGAGTCAAGAAAGGAACAATCCAATTTCTGGGAGATTCTAATTATGGTCCATAAACTCAACAACCTTATATGTATGGAGAAATGTTTAATAATAAAAAAGAATAATTTATTCAACAACTAAAGTTATCTTGATAATGTGAGAGTTAGGAAGGTACGAGATGAAAGTTCTGAGTTTTAAAAAATATGTAAATGTCTTGTTGCATTCAACTTTGGAGCAGTTTGTAAGTAGTGATTAACCATGTCATGCACATTAACAGTGAAATGGTTTTGTATATTTGGCTGATTTCTTCTCAGAAGCTGTGTAATTCAGCCACCATTAAAAATATATACCAGTACAAAAACACTGAAAAAAAACAGGACATCAACTCATGTGTATTCTTTGCAGAATAAGATCAGAGATTGTTGGGAGTGTCTCATAATGGTCTTGTAGGTAATAATGAAATTCTAGAAATTAACTGTCCAAAAAAAACCTGAGTAATTAACTCCATTTGAACCAGCAAGGTCTTGTATCCAATTTTCTTGTACAACAACAAAAGATGGGCATGTTCACAAAAAACAAGCTATTACTATGTTTAAGTGCAATTATATATTGTACAGTGACAGTTCTGAACTTTGGAATATGGATCGAAAAATATATGACTGCTGAAAAGACCCAAGGTTATAACATTACAATTTATATAATGAAATATAGTAAATTCATTACAATTGAGCAAAAGTACTTATGAAATTAACTAAACATCTAATATTGTTAAAAATAACTCAGGAAAAATATACATGACTATAATTTTTGTTTCTGAAAATAGTCAACGGAATTCAATAGCAAGTACCTTAAAATTAAACCATGTAATAAAATAAAATGTAAATAATAATTCACAGTAAATACAAAAAAAAAGCCATTTTCATATCAACATAAATTTTGAAATTACAGAAAACAACATTTATTAGAAATGAACATTTATCTATTCATATCTTCACATCCTATTTAGTTTGAAAATTAGCTCTAAATACATTGAAGTTATACTGATGGTGGACAGCCACAATTTTAAACACACCAAGAGTTCATACTGTATAATCAAACACAAGTCAATGCTAAGACGAAAACATTTTTTTACTTATACTGTAGCAAGAAACAACACACGTTTCTAAAGTTTAAACATTACTTACCTTTGTACACCTTAGAAATGCTCGAGCCATACACAAAAGTTGTCGTTCACCAACAGAGAAATTTGCTCCATGCTCTACTACAGAAGCATCAAGCCCACCATCAAGCAACAACACCTATGACAGCAAAATACATTTATTTTTTTAAAACTTCTATCTTTATTATACTACTGAAAGGACACTTTCTACATGTCATGCTATTGAAATTACAAACAAAGTAACTTGGATATGTTCAGTATTGTCACAAAGATTAGAAATAGCTGTAACAATGATGAGAAATAGCAAAAACTTTTAATTACACTGCTTTTTTTAAACATGCAAATGGAAATATATTTTGCTAACTAATGTGAAGAGTCAGTCCTAATTGCCAGTTCATAGTATGTTAATAAATTAGCTGTTATCAATGGCTGGTTGACATTTGAGCATTGCGTATCAACAACAAACTCTGGTATAAGAACTAATCTTTTCTGAATACATAAATAAGCAAAAGAGAGAGAGCCTTTGTTATTCCTCACTTTACACAGATATGACTTGCTTGTGTAATACAATCTAATTTATTAGGTAATGCAATAAATCAATAACTAAGTTTCTTACTAGCATGCAACAAACTGTTTAACATATGAATTAATTCAACAGTGAAATATAAAATAGATGACCTTCTCTTTCATGTGAGTCTTCTCTAAAGCTTCCCACATTTCTTTATCAGTGTTCCTTTGAAATGGGTCCAGATTATAGCTGGAAAAGAACAATGTTACTGACTTTTAATATTTATATATCAAGTCATGATACAAGTCATTTTTGTTTGTGGTTTTGAACTTATAACTAAATGTTTAAAAATTTGTTAGTTTTGTTTCTATCATTTATAGCATAAAATAAGTTTTTCAGATTTAAAGAAACAATTTAAGCATATCATTTTGCTATCATTATTACACATTCTTCTTCTTCTTCTTTAATCCTAGTAGATATTCTTCTTGGGAAATAAAGCATGCAGTGTGCACTACAAATGCAGAAGCTTTATCAACTTTATAGAATAACATGAACACAGTCACATAAAACCCTAAACCTACCGAACAGTTCCATGGAATAGTACTGGGTCTTGAGGTATCACAGACATCCTAGATCTCAAGTCTTCTAGTCCTAACTTACTAACGTCAACACCATCAATGTGAATGGTACCTGATGTTAGTTCGGTTAACCGGAATAGTACTGCACCAATAGAAGACTTACCTGCAAAGAAATTAATAAAAACTTAACCAGATCACATTAGGGTTTAAAAATTAAGTTCTGGAAATATAAAAGATAACTTTTTTTTTACAATGCATTTTCAACTAGAAAATTCTTTTACCCTTCTCTTGCTTTCTGTCATTTAGTATATAAACACTAACCACATGCCATAAAATGCAAATTGTCATGTCAAAAAAAATACAATGGAGAAAAGGAAGCAAAGAGATTTTATCTTACAGATAACACAGGGCAACAAAAAACAAATTCTCTGCTACTAGAAAAAATGCAACTGTATTTGAGTAATTTCATGATGCTGATTCTAAAAATCATGTTGAAAATTACTGATCTACTCTAGTTTTTGAGTTATGATAGATTTATTCAAAATATTCTTACATATTGTGAAAATAACTGTTTAATAACTTTATTCGTTGAAAATTGCATTTAAGAATGTTCAAAAACAATATATAATAGCAATACCAGTTTAAAAAAGCAATGAGTATAGTAAGATAATATACTGGAAATACATTCACGCTATGTTCAAAACTTTCATTATGGTATTTTTTATGTTTTGTTACTAAATATTTTCTTAACTTTTTGTGCCTTTTGTGTATGTTCCCAGTTTCATGCTGTAAGAACCAACAGTAATCTCTCATCATTGCAGGATTCCATTGTCCTTGATATTGCTGTTCAATTGTAGAAATATGCTCATTACACCTAGATCATCTGGAAAGAAGTGCATCTTTAGTGACATCCTAGACCCCATTTTTCTGAAATTCACAAGCATATCCATCAATCATCACAGCATAGTTTCATCTCTGTGATTTCCTACGAAATTTTTGACAACCAGTTTTACTGATTTCCTAGTAGCAAGTTTTTTCTGATTGAGTTCTGTTTAAAAATCATCATCCATCAGCTCTTCCAAAATCTGTGGCCCAACAAAACTCCTTTCATTTTTGCTTCACTGATTTTTGAAAAATTGTCAGACAGATATCTGAAACCATTACCATCTTTGTTCATTCCAGTTTAATATGAAGAGAGAGCAGAAGCACATTTTGAGGATTCACTAAAGGTTGATGCTAAATATTCTGTTTCCCTGGTATGTAATTCTTTCTCACTGGCTACTCCTCCTTTTTATCATCTCAGCTGTCCCAGAGACACAAAAAGCAACAATGTTTTGTATACCCACTCTGCAGGTCTAGCAGGAGTGCAGTAACTTTTAGATCACCACATATGTTCCACCTATGGTGATCACAATGAAAGCCTCAAGTATAATCTGCATGCTTTGACAAGTTTCTTTCACGTTCACGGCATGAGCAACAGAAATCAATGGTTTAGTGTTCCCATTCTGTAAAATATAGCTTTCAGACTATAGATGAGTCGATAAAAAATCTCCATTCTTGAGGATAATGTTCAGTACCTATTTCTTCCATTAGTGCATCAACATTTGTAAAGAAACAAAATATCTTGCATGCTGTAGTGAGAAGCAAGATTTTGATTGCGACTTCAATAAATTGAAATTCTTGTTCCTCGAGCTAATAAATTCCATTGCTGTAAATGAGAGTGAAGAATTTCCCCATGCTGCTTTAATAGAAACAAGTCACAAATCAGATCATTTAGCTCTTCTTGTGTGGTCAGATGAGGCAGCTTATATTGAGATGCCACAAGAACAGAATTACAAGATGAAGATGATTCATTGTCTTCTTCACATAACTCTTCTGTTTCCCAATTTGCTGGTGGATGTGGCACTGGGAGACCATCCCCATGAGGTACTGGTTTCATTGCAGGTGCAATATCTGGGTATTTAATGTATTGTTTAGTTTTCCTAAATATCCAGAAACATTAGTCATGCAAAAGTAACAGTCAGTTAAATAATCTTTGGACTCATGCCATTACTGGAACTGGAAATGGCATACTTGCTGTCTTCTCATTAGGCCACTACATCAAGACAAATGTGCAAACTGTCCAACATATGTGGAGTCCAATGTTTTTCTTCGTCACCAATTTTACACCCAAAATAGTGGTAGTAAGCTACCTTTACCTTGTGTGTGATGTTTTTCCTTTGTGAAACTGTAATATATTTTCCACAAATGTAACAAACTGTTCGGGTGATTTTTGGACTTTACTTGAACTGGAGGCAGCCAGAATTTCAAATGATTTTCTAAAACAAATAAAAGAATTTATGCTTACAGAAATGAGTTTAAATGATTAAAAACAACAACAAAGTTTTGCTGAATTTGATTATATCGTGGGTATCACGAGACGAAGATTGGACTTTGATTTGACTGTACTCAGGGAAAGGCAAAGTGACCAACTAAGTGAGTGAGATACAAATGAGAGAGATGCATCTGACTCAGCCCCTTTTATACTCACTCAAGGGACTTCTCGATTGTTTTAGCAAATTGAGCATGTGAGGGTATCGTGATTCCCAGGTGGAGCAGGTGAACTTGGGAATGAAGCAAAAGTGATGCAATTTGCTACAATTATAATGAGATAAATAGCATATATGAATAATATATTTGGAATTTTACACCAACACAATACAGTCAATGTTTAAAGTTATCAAAAATGTATGCCTTTTACCCATTAAACTATCCAAATAAACTTAATTTCACAGCATAAATCTATCGTACTGAATTGATTGCATGGTATTTCACATAATGCTGATAAAAAACTGAGATATTACAATAACTCAAAATCTAGAGGTGATGGATAAATTATGACTACATTTTTGAAATTACTCCAAATCACGTTTTTTTCTTCAGTAACAAGTGTAATGGTCTAAAATGAACACACTGCTACAATCAGAGTTCAACAACTACACTTACCAAAACAGCTAATTAACAAGTGCCTGGCCAGGACTTCACACCAATATTCATAAACAATATATCATAAGTATTAATAAATCAATATTATTTCAAATAATGGACTCAGTAAAAAGAACCAGAAAGAAAAAACCTAATTCCAAAAAAAAATATATATATATATATATATATTCCAAGAATACCTTTTAATATCAATAACAATATTGAGTGATAAACAGCAATAATTCATAACTGTCTTGTGATTCTCTCTCTCATAGTGAAGCTTCTGGCAGGGTGTTTATTCACAGAGTAGGTCACAAGAGTACAACCTCATGTGATCATAAATTTACATACTCTTCTGCTACATTAATAGTATATGTACATCAAGATTATGGAAGCTGGTGTCAGTTCCATCATACACACACATTTACTCAAAATACAAATTAGTATGTAAAAGGTGAGTTAGTGTTTTAATGCAACTAAAAATTCATAGACAAACTAAATGATAAAAGGAAATAATAAATGAACAATAAATACAACCATAATCATAAAAAAAAAAGTTGCTATCTCAGAAATTTTTTTGTTGTCCAGTGTAAGTTATCAGTGACTTGTAAATGAATAAAAAAAAAAAGATTATAAAACAGTTTTTCAGAGACCAGACTTTGTTTACCTCAACAATGAAACCCTAGAAGCCCATTCTTATGGGATTTACAACAAACACTATTAAACTAAGAGCAAGAGAAGGCTGAGACTATAAAGACACTGAGGAAAACAATGAAACTTTTTATTTAACCAAGAATTCAAGAAAAACAGTCCTTGTTTCATTATGATCAATTACTGGCAATAAAAACACACCCATATGATCAGACAATGTTTGCAACCACTAAAAAATAAGACTTAATGAAAACACTTTTAGAACATTCAGATTAAAATGACAACAACTTTGTTCTATTAAGGAGATTATGAGATATAGTAATAACATATGCAAGTATCCATACTAATCTAAAAAATACAAGCTGAATAAGTCATAAAAATAGTAACTCAACATCAATACTTCACTCTTGAAATCTAACTGATAAAATTGTTCTTTGTTCTCCTGAAGTTTGGTACATTATATCAAAATGATTTTAGAGCCTCACCATGTCCATGTCAGTTCATGCTTTATTTGAGGACCATGAATCTTAACAATAGCACTGCAGTGTTTTCCATTGCATAAAATGGTCTTGTCCAAGGTACACAACTTTACTACATGTGCTTTCTACAATCCATTGAAGATGACGGATTTTGGCACCTGTTTCAACAGTTTTATCAAACAGAAATCCATAGACACTGCATCCAGCAACTTGACCAATATTTATTTGTAAAGAATAACATGAATACCCATTTAATTTTCCAGCTACTTTAGATATGCAATGATTGAAAGCCTTATCTTAGTGAACCCATATCCTGTTGGCCTTGTCTCTATAAAAAACCATTACTTATTTGTGGTACCAAGGGTCCAGAACATTGGGCCAATACTAAGAAGAGTTCACCTTGACCTTTGCATCCACTCTCTTCATCATGAATCCCTTCAAAAAATCTTTGTGAAGTGCCTTGAACTATTTTTATACATATTTAGGAATTTTTTTCATCTAATGAGTGGTTGAAATTGACACGAAGCTTTTTACAGTTTTGAAAATGCATATAATCATCATAAAGTGTCACAATGTACTGCCATTTTTACTTCATCTAGATATTGTTTTTTGGATACGTAATATAGGCAACTTGTGTACGTGTGACTTTTGTCACTTTTCTAGATGGAGATCTCTCCTGATTATGTTGTGTACAGTTTCTTGGTACATGTGGGCACCTTTTGTCACTGACTTTTGTATTCATGAATTCTCACATGTTGCAAGATGCTGTACTTTGCTTACCATATCTGCTATATGGTAAGTTTTTTCTCGATGGTCCTGGTGCCTCAAATTGATCTATATTCCTTTGTTTTCTAATGTCATTCAGTGTAAAGTCAAAATTTTAAATCAACAATCTCAACAAATATTTATGATCTTATGCATATGAATATTTTTTGGAAAGAGCTGTTAACCCAATGATTACCAGCTACTAACTTTCTTAGTAGGCAATGCAAGTCTTGCTATATTTCATTCCAACAATAAAACTAGTGGATGAATATGTTCGAAACTTCATAAGAACTTTGATAAATGTATGCAGTTTAAGAAACATAAAGCCTATTACTTTTGATAAATTTAGTTTTTTTGCATTATGATCTTTAATATCTTGGAAAATTACATTAGGAAATGGTATTTATAAGAAATGATTACGATATTTATATTTGTTTCAGGTTTGAACTTATTACTTTTAATGTTTTAGTACATTATTTTGAAATCCCCCAAAAATTGTATCCTCCATAAAATGCAAATTTTATCTATTTTTAATTTTTTTAATAATCACGTATACTTCTTATGGTTTCAAGCAATATACAGACCCGAAAATAATATTT